CTACACTATAGAAACTCTTAATTATAGCCCAAACCAATTCCTAAGGAATGTGGCTCAGTCAAAAGATCACACTGGGCTGTTTCTGGGAACAATTGATTACAATCTCTTAACAAAATGACTGTTCCGAAATCCTATAAATCTATTTTAACTTTTATAAAAGTTTCTAATTCCTAATCCTGATCATCAGCAATAAAGCTTCTAAAAAATAAAACCCAAATATAAACTGTAAATTGTATTAAAGCCAAAACCACAAATGTAGAAAATGGAAACAATGTAATTTCTAAAGTTAGCTGTATTCTTATTAAACCTCAAAATATCATGTTTGATCATGCTTGAACTGACATAATTCACTGACATAGCATAACCTATTCTACAACACTTTCTATGAATAAAATAAATTCGATTTCTATAATAAGTAGAAAAAACCCTATACTAACTATAGCTAAAACCCAGTTTTAAAAAAAGCAGCCTGGTCCAAAGTATGCGCTGGGCCCTTAGGAATGTGGCCCAGCCCAAAGTTCATGCTTGGCCTTTAGGATGTGGCCCAGCCCAAAGTTTGTGCTGGGTTGTTTCTAGTAGCTCTAGATACTTATCTGTATTATTAAGGTTGAAACAGCACTTTATATGTATATACTAATTCTACAAATATACTATTAAATCTTGAAAGAAGCTTGTACTGTATTAAAGTCTCCCAAATGTGACCTGAGTTTGAGTTATGTTAAGTTTAATGCCGAAACCGCAGTCTGTGAGAAACGGGAACAATGGACTCCTAAAGTAAGCCATGCCTGTCGTATTCTCAGAACTTCATGCTTAGATCATCAAAGTCCCTGCTAGTGGATCATGCCAAACAGCAAAGAAGGGGAGAGGGAATGGGCCTTCAGCTCCTGAACATGTGCTAGTGGTCTCCAGGTCTGTAGCCTGCCTGGATTCCTAATGCTCAGCTAGTCCTCCACAGCCGGCTCCCAACAATATTTGTTATATTTCATACAATGCCAATTAAAACTAAAAATTTGAATATGTATTGCAGACCAAGAAGTACAATGTGTCCATAAAAATATATGTTTTCTTTAAGGTAATATTTCCCTGTCAGCAGGCCCATACCATCCCACTCCTCATCAAAAAATAGAAAAATGTAATCTCCCATCTCGCTTGCATAGAGGTTACCTGGGCTTTACCCTGTAGCATATCAATCGATGTGAAGGCTAAAAGACAAGCTGTGGAACGGAAGTCTATGTATGGACTCAGGAATTTACTACTGCAACAATGAGAACTGCCTGAACTTCTGTAGTAGGTATCAACCCACTGGGATAACTGTAAATACGTTTTGCTAAACATCAAAAACTTGCTATGTTATAACAGCAGCTATAATGGCCTTTATCATAATATTCATTCTTATAGTCAATACTTTGGATACAAATACTAAAAATACTTAACTCCATAGGCTCCTATCCTCTCATTCCCTCCTCTTGCTCTAGACACGTAGGGACAGCTCCATGCCCCATGTGCAGCAGAAAGTAACTATAGAAGCTTGACCTTCATCCCATTCCCAGGTACAAATAAGAATATTTTTACAATAGCAAGAAGTGGGAATGAAAGGTGGTACCTATAGAAACCTAGAAGAAACTTAGCTTATTCTTAATCTTTTTGCCTCAGCATAACCATCAGAAAGCATTCATTCTACTGCAGGACAAGTGGCCGCCTATTCCATCCCGCGCCCCCCCCCAAATCTCTTTCAAATGGAAGACCTGGACAACCTTTCAATTCATGGTTTAGCATACTAATCTCTAGTAAACTTTTAGGTTTCTTGTCAAGGCTGAAGATCAAAGATCACCCTTTGGCTGGCCAAAGTCATGAAAATAATAATACTACGGCATTTGTCAAGGAGTTTGTGAGTTGCAAATGTCTGAGTCTGTGAATTGCAAATGCTTAACAAGTCTCTTGCAAAAAACACCCCCCCTTTAACCTTTGTGACCTGGCTGACCTACTGACACAAATAAAACCCACCATGGCAGCAATCATGTGACTAACCCACCCATCTGCCTGCTGTCCATCACCTGACGTCAGTACCTGCAATTGCCTGACCCTTTGTGATGATGTGAAGCAGACCACCGCCCAAATCATCTTAATGATCTTTACCCATCAAGGGGAGTGGTTAAAAGGACTCAACAACAAGCGACCAGCAGCCCTTGTTTTGTTAGACTCTGGTGTGGCCATGTGCTCTTGGAGCTATGGCTGTCGCCAGGCTTCCTGACTTTGGCCCCCTCCCCACCTTGGGGAAGTGACTCTTCTTTCTCCCTTCTCTTTCTCTCTCTAATTTACTTTTAAATAAACTTTTCTTTCTTTGCAAAAAAAAAAAAGAAATATACATATATACATGTTTTCACAATAATCAAGATTCAAAAAGGTATACAATCATCATAATGACACAGTAACTACAATAAAAAGAGACGATAAACTTATTAGGGCACAAACAAGCCTAATCAGATCCAAAAGGATTGAAATTTTACAATGTACTTTTTTCTCACCTCAAGGAAATAAAATTAATTTAATTAAAATTAAATTGAAATTAAAAGCAGAAGGCAGGGCCGGGCTCGGTGGCTCAGCCTGTAATCCCAGCACTTTGGGAGGCCGAAACAAGTAGATTGCCAGAGCCCACGGGTTCAAGGCCAGCCTGGGCAACTTGGCGAGACCTCGTCTCTACAATAAATCAAAAATTAGCCGGGCGTGGTAGCGCGCGCCTGTAGTTCCAGCTACTTAGAAGGCTGAGGGAAGGATCACCGGAGCCTAGCAGGGCAAGGCTGCGCTGGCCAGAAGCGTGCCGCTGCACTCTAGTCTGGGCGACAGAGTGAGACTCCAACTCAAAAAAATAAATAAATAAAATTTTTAAAAAACAGAAGGCAAACGAGAAAATCCAAAATTATATGCAACTTAAGCAATATACTCACACTCTTATTCAAGATTCAGAACATTTGGGATGGGCATGTTGGCTCACACCTGTAATTCCAGCACATTAGTAAGCTGAAGCAAGTGGGTCGCTTGACCCAGGTGTTTGAGAACAGCCTGGGCATCATAGCAAGTCTTCATCTCTACAAACAAAAAAAATTAAATTAAAATTAGCTAGGTGTGGTAGCATGCTACCCATTTTTTTTTTTTTCTTTTTTTTTTTTGAGTTGGACTGTTAGACCTCACCATCTCTTCTTACTTTATTTCACTCATGTTTAATTTCCTTTTTAATCTATCTTTCCTCCTGTTCTCACTACTTAAGAAGTTTCAAAAACTGTAACAAATTTCCTAGTGGTTTCTCTGAACGGCTGGTTTGGGAAAGAGGTAAGGAACGAGTTACCCTGGGTTAAGACCATTGGCCATGAATATTTGCTTTCTGCACAAATACTTCGATCAATCCTTTGCAAATGAAAATCCTGTCCATCAGAGTTTCCACCAAAGGTGAGAATTAAAAAAAAAATAGAAGCCATGAAACATGAATCATAAGAATTAAAAGTGCTACTTTCTGAACTTAAAATTAGTTTTTACTTCCTAAA